ACGTCGGACACCAGCACGGTTATGTTGTGCTCGGTTTTCAGCCTGGGTGTCCCCGAGTCCGTGACGGTGATGGTGACGTTGTATTCTGCTCTGGTCTCTCTGTCTAGCGGTCTCTCTGTTACTAGGGTATAAAAGTTTTCCATGGAAGATTTAAGGAAAAAAGGTAGATCGTCCTGAATGTAGCAACTTATTTTCCCATTCTCTTCAGAATCAAGATCTGAAACACTGAAAACTGCAACCACAGTCTCAGGAGAGTTCTCGGGGATCTGCCTGGTAAGTGCAGACATGGTGACTTCTGGAGCATTGTCGTTCACATCCATGACTTGAGTCAGAACGGTGCATTTCCCAGAAAGACTTCCAGTATCTCTGGCCTCGATATTGACCTCATAAGACTGAGTTGTTTCGAAATCAAGTTGTTTTTTCAGTCGAATTTCTCCTGTCATGGCGTTGATCTCAAAGGTTTTGCTAATCTCTTCTGAAGCCTGGAAAAGTGAATAGGAAATCTCTCTATTGACTCCTATGTCTATATCCGTAGCAGAGACTTTGACAATCAGGTAGCCTATGGGACTGTCCTCGGGGATCTGAACCCTATAGAAAGGCGGCTCAAATTCAGGGGCATTATCGTTGATGTCCATGACTTCGATGGAGACCTGAGCAGTGCCAAACCGGGGTGGAGAACCGCCATCCTGAGCAGTGAGGGTTAACCTGAGCTCAGGTTCCTCCTCCCGATCCAGCACTTTGTCCAGCACAAGTTCCGGATATTTCCTGCCATCGCTGCGTTTGCGGGTGAGGACCCGGAAATAGGAGTTGGGACTGATGGTATAGTTTTCAATATTGTTTCGGCCTACATCCATGTCCTGAGCGTTCTTCAGAGGAAACTTAGTCCCAGGAGGACTGCTCTCTGATATTTTTAGCAACATATCTCTGTCCATGAACACCGGAGCATGGTCATTTATGTCTATTACCTGTAGCTCAGCTTGAAAAAACTCTAAGGGATTCTCTAGCAACACCTGGAAACGCAGCATACAGGGCTCTGTCTGACCACACAGTTCTTCGCGGTCCAGTTTCTCATTTAGCAGTAAATCCCCAGTCTCCTGATCGAGCTGCAGATACAGTTTGTTTCCTTTGGAAATGACCCTAGCTCCCCGCCTGGAAAGTTCCCCCTGCCCCAGACCCAGGTCTTTTGCTAAATTGGTTACCAAAGAGCTCCCTTCAGTTTCCTCCACCACAGAATAACGCCTAAATTCAGAGCCCGCCTGAGCTAAGCCCAAGAAGAAAAAGAAGAAAAAGACTTGCCTTTGTCTGCAAATGAGCTTCCTGCCAACCTCCATTGTTCTTGCTCGGTATAGCCTCTGGCGAGGGTGGTTCCGCTGAGCTGTAAAGGCCTCAGTACGTTTCTGAGACTGTAGTTATTCCACAAGGTACTTCAGAAATATTCCAGTGAGTAGTCCTTTACAGAGGACCCAGTCCTCCTTCTGTGGCATCCAAGCTTCTCATGGGTTTCCAGGCTCTGCTGTTGAGTTTTGCCTGTTAATGGAGACGCAGCTGCGGTTCCGGTTTGTACCTTATCGTGCAGCGCCACCACGCGTCCTCAGAGAATCTTACATTTTCTGGGTTGAAAATGGATGCAATGTTCCCAGCTCTTTTTGTTTTCTTTTTAAAATTTTGGCTGAGCCGCGTGGCTTGCGGGATCTCAGTTCCCCGACCAGGGACTGAAGCCGGGACCACCAGGGAACTCCCCAATGTTCCCAACTCTTGCCAGTACGTATCACCGAGCTATGTAAGGCTACAATACTATTTTTACTATCTCTGAACCTTAAGGTTGAGGCAATTGTCTGAGGGCCATACAGGAGAAATGATATTAGTAGAGACTACTTTCAATAATGCTAATTGCGTTTGTAGCAAAAAGAAAATATTTATGTAACAGTTTGCCTGAGAAGAAAGACTATATGCAGAAATTTAAATATATATAATAACATAGAAAACTTTCAGAATTATATACTTTTATTGCCATGAACTATGGGAATAATTAGTAGCTGTGAACCTTGGACACGTTATTTAACCTCTGCCTCAGTTTTCTCATCTGTCTAAGGTGGAGATATTAATGGTACTTACTACATAGGGCTGCTGTGAGTTCCTCACCTTACAGATGGGGAAACTGAGGCAGAAAGAGATTAACCCCCCCCACACACACACACACCAGGCATGTAATGTGATGCCATCAGGTAGCTCAGTTTGCATTAATCCATTGTCATGACTTAAAAAACCCCCAAGATTCACATGGTAGAATAATTCATGAGCAGCATTATTTCAGAATGAAGTTATCATATCAAACGATGAAACTGGAAAGGCTGGAGAATCTTTCTAATACGTGTATAATCTGTGATGGTAGTGATGATTCTGTATCTCAGAAGGGTGTCCTCTTCTCTTTTTACAGTGTCAATTTTTCAAAACCTTTTATTTTGAAAATTTTCAAACCCCATAATGAAGGAGAATAGTACGATGAACCCCCAGGTACTCAAAACTAGCTAGAACAATTATCGATATTTTGCTACAATTGTTTACCCTGTCTCCCCAACATTTTCACATCCCAAACTAAATTTTTACCCATAAAACTTCATTATAAATCTCTAACTTTTAATGTCTTAAAAAACCCACTACAATGCCCTTACCACACCTAAGAAATTAAGTTAATATTGTTTAATATTCCATCTATATTCAGATTTTTCCAATTATTTCAAAGTCGTTATGATTGTTTGAATCAAGATTAAACAAGATCCACTATCCATTGCATTTGGTTGGTATGTCTTAATTTCTCTCATTGTGCAAGATTCCCTCCTCCCCTTTTCCATGCCATTGATTTGCTTGAAAAACTAATTTTATCCTGATGCTATGGAAACAACTTAAGATTTTAATGCTGTGAGGTTCTTTTTTTTTTTGTCGTTAGACTATATCCCATTAGTAATGCACAGTAATATTACTATTTTAAGAGTTATCAGCACTAGCTTATGATATATTCAGAATACAGCTCTGCAAAAATGATCTGGATAACTGTTAAAGAAAAAGCAGTTACAGATTATTATAACAAACAAGGCTTCTCCTTAACTCTCCAGAATCTTTAAGTAATTCAATGATAATTTGTTTCTCTTTAATATTGCATATTTAAAAGTATTCTTTTTCTTATACTTTTCTGATTCAGCACTGAAGTATATTGAATAGAAACTTTAAAAAATAAACTTTCAAATTAAAGGAGAAAAACGTGTTAAAAAGGTAGGGACTACTGTATGAAAATTACTGCAATGTGAGGAAAATAAACAAATGAAGCGATCAAAATTATGTAATATTTCTATTCATGGTCATTAATCTTTTCTATGAAATGAAGGTCGCATATTCAGATAACAAGGAGAAAGCACAGATTGATCTTTCATTTTTTTGTACTTGAGATTTGGATAGATCAGAGCTTTAAAAATAATAGTTGAATAATTGATCCAGAAAAACTGGATTATTAGTTTATAAGAAAATAAAACCACAAATACATATCTTATTCTTTGCAAATACACGAAACACTGAACAGGAATATGAGTATGAAAAAAAGATTTCTCCTTAATTAGGGAGAAACTTGCCAGGTGATATCTAACAAGAGAAAACAGTATAGCATCACAGCAAGGCCCCAGAATCAGAAGATTTAGGAGAGATGCTTAGCTCTGCCATTAATTAGTTGGTGACCTTAGCGAACTCACTGAACGTCTGTGAACATCTATTTGCTCATTTCTAAAATACCTCCCATCATAGAATTACTTCTAAAATTAAAAGTGGTAAAATAGTGTATGATGCATAGTAAGTGCTTTTTTAAAAGTTAGGGTAGGTATACTTGTAGAGCACTCTAATCAACTTACAAAATAAAACTAGCAATAATATTTGAAGACAGTGAATTCCAATTTAAAAACATCTCAAATAAGATGTGTCATGTAATAGACTGCACACAAAGCATAATTGAGACAAAAGGTGACAGTAAACAATCCATGCTTTTTGGAGTGTTCTTAGGGCTGAAGCCGAATCCTTTTCTGTGTCAAGAAATTTATTCTATGACCCTAAGAATACTTGCAATAATGTGAAAGCACTCCTCTACAGGTAAATCGAGATAAATTTCTTAATAGGAATATATTTACAGATATAATACCGGCATTTATTTTTCATTCTTTATCAGAAACCGAAATCATTCTGATATGAGGGATATTCTTCCACTTTTCCTGCCCATGCTCTGGGATGTGAGATTGGTGATAATCGGCTTCAGGAACTTGAACTCGCTGGCCCAGTACCTCCCCAAAGACACACCTTATACTGGTAGCTCTGGGACAGGGTCCCCGTGCCGCTGACGTCCACCAGGTGGCCCGGAAAGTGGCCCTCGGGCACCGAGCAGCGACTCACCGAGGCCGCCCCGCCCCTCCTGCACAGCCGCAC